TCACTTAGGATTTTCAATTGGTATCAAAGCAGGTCACTCTTTGTTTTTATCAAAACTATAGGAGTGTGATTTTGTGTGACTAGTGATATGGATTCTATCCGTGAAGGTAACTTGACCCATAAACCTTCTTTACTCGATGGTACAAACTATTCTTATTGGAAAGCTCGTATGAGAGCATTTTTAAAATCCATCGATGAGAAAGTTTGGCATTGCGTGATCTATGCGTGGAGTGAACCTATTGTTACCATTGATGGTGTTGATATTCCTTAACCCCTTGATAAATGGGACACAATTGATTACCAAAACTTGAGTTGGAACAGTAAGGCTCTCAATTCCCTGTTTTGCTCCGTCACACCTGAAGAGTTTCGTCGTATTTGCACGTGTGAGGTAGCAAAAGAGGCTTGGGACATTCTTGAAATGATTCACGAAGGTACTACTTTTGTCAAAATGTCAAAACTTCAACGTCTCACCTCCGCCTTTGAAACCCTTTTTATGCGCGAAGATGAGACGTTTGATGATTTCTATGCAAAACTTAGTGATGTCGTGAATTCCTGTTTCACACTTGGTGAAAAAATCCTTGAAGCTAAAGTTGTTGGGAAAATTTTGAGGTCTTTAACCGAGAGGTTCCAATCAAAAGTGACAGCCATTGAGGAGGCTCAGAATGTTGATACCCTCAAGCTTGATCAGTTGGTTGGAAACTTGCAGACTTATGAAGCCCACCAGATTTCAAAGAAAAAATAAAAAGATAGTGTGGCTTTCACTAGTGCTCATGAGACTGCAAAAACTCCGGAGACTGAATTTGATTTAGAGTCTGAGATGACGGCTATGTTTACTAAATAGTTTAAAAAAATTTTGAAGAGAAAGAAGCCTAATTTCAGAGACCCTATTTCAAAAGACAAGAGTAATGAAAATTCCAAAACTTTTTCACCAAAACTTGGTCCAAAAATTGAAAAGAAGATTGTAAAGGGGTAAGGGGTCAAGTGCTATGAATGTCAAGGGTTTGGTCATATTGCCCTTGAATGCCCTTCGAAAAAGAATCAAAAGAAAGTCTACACTGTAACTTGGGATGATGAAAGCGAGTCGGAGCAAGAACCCGAAGAACCTGAATCCGGAGAAGACGGCGATAGTGCTTTCATGGCATTTTGGTCCACTTTCACTCAACCTCTTCCAAAGCCAGCAGAATTAGCTCGTGGTCAGAACTTGCATCATGCTCCCACTTTTGATGGGAGTAACTACCTGTATTGGAAGATCATAATGAGGGCAGAAGGCTGGCAAGCCATTGAAGAAGATACAAAAAGTGCTGACAATCCGAGCAATTAGAGAGCCCTGATTACTATTTGTGGAGCAATTTTTGATAAAGAAAAGCAATGGGTTGCTCACTGCACAAAGGCTAAAGATGCATGGGAAATTCTGAGCCAATTTCATGAAAGAGGAGATTCACCTTCACCACCATCCAGCAACTTTCCTGCCTTAGTTGCTAGATTGGATGAGGTCAAGGAGAATGAAGAGCAAAAAGAGGATGATGAAACATCAGAAGACAATGATGAGATTAATGGTGATGAACTGCAACAAGCTTACGAAAAGCTTTACGAAGAATCTCTAAATTTGTCCAAAATCAATGACAAACTCTCTCTCAAACTCAAAGTATGTGAAAGTGAGAATGTCAAGCTGAAAGGAGAACTTGTAGTAGCAAAGCAGAATATCATCAAGATCTCAAGTGACAGGCAAGACTTATGTGGAAAACCTCTATCCTGTGAAACTGAAAGGAATGAACTTCTGAAGGTGTATTCCACATATGAAGAAAAGCTTGAAAGCCTTGAGATGTCACAAGCTACATTGGAAGAGATAGTTTGTCAGAAAGATGAAGAACTCCGTATTGCTAGAGCCACTATTGCCATGTGGAACAAAGGTTTCAAATCTTTAGAAGACATCCTCGGGTCTCAACAAATGAGGTGTGACAAAAGTGGGCTAGGCTATGGTGCGACAGCTCATAAGGGACAGGCCTCTACTTCACATGACTTGAAGACTCAAGCAAAGGGAAAGCTGAAGGTAGACCAGGGTGATCCCTCTCTTCATCTACTTAAAGGGGGTAAGATCAACAAAAGGGAGGTAAAACCTGTTTTTATTTGTCATCACTGTGGTAGGTATGGCCATATTCGTCCTTATTGCTATGAATTGTTTGGTAAGGTGTCTCAAAAGGGTAGAAATTCGAATACTTTTTGGGTTAGGAGACAACCTTACATATCTAGGCGGAATACCAAGATTCATGAGGGTGCTCACAACGCCAAGACATTTACCAAGACCAAAAAGATTTGGGTGAGAAACGATGATTTGACTTGTTTAGTTGTTCACACCGCCCTAAAAGCACGTGACTCACACATGTGGTATCTTGATAGTGGGTGCTCTCGTCACATGTCCGGTAACAAATCCTACTTCACCTCCCTTGAAAAATATGAACGAGGAATTATTACATTTGGAGATGGCGGCACTTCTAGAGTCATTGGTAAGGGCTCTATAAGTGTTGCTGGACTTTCCAAGCTCGAAAATGCTTTTCTTGTTGATGGTCTTAAAGAAAATCTTTTGAGCATTAGTCAAATGTGTGATTCCCACCATGAAGTATTGTTTTCAAAAAATAAATGTGAAATTTTGGATAAAAAAGGAAATACTGTCTTGCATGGGATTCGCACATCTGATAACTGCTATGGGATTGTTACTACTAATGATCTCACTTGTCACTCTGCCATCATAAGTAACATTGACTTGTGGCATCAAAGATTAGGTCATATGAATTTCAAAGACCTAACTAAGATAGTCAACAAAGAGCTTGTGAGAGGAGTACCTAAACTGGGTAAGAATCTGAACCATGTGTGTGGACCATGTCAACTTGGAAAGCAGACCCGTGCCCCTCATAAAAAGGTGAACAACTTTACAACCAAACGTCCTCTTAAATTGGTTCACATGGATTTAATGGGTCCTACTCGCACTGAAAGCATTGGAGGTAAAAGATATATTTTTTTAACTGTTGATGATTTTACTCGATTTTCACGGGTAAATTTTTTAAGGAAAAAATCTGATACGTTTGATGCTTTCCAGGACTTAGTCCTTAAAATTCAAAATGAACAGGGTGTTTCCATTAGGCGTATCATAAGAATCTGAACTGATCATAGTCGTGAATTTGAAAATAGTTCATTTTCGAATTTTTGTGATATATATGGAATTAAGCATGAATTTTTTGCACCTATTACTCCACAACAAAATGGAGTGGTTGATAGGAAGAACAGAGTTGTTCAAGAAATGGCTAGGGTCATGCTCCTTAGTAAGAAACTTCCTCCAAACTTTTGGGCTGAAGCCCTAAATATTGTTGTTTATGTCATAAATCGCGTGTATTTAAGGCCCGGCACTTTACAAACTTCATATGAATTGTGGAAGGGATTGAAACCTAATGTAAAATACTTCAAAACTTTTGGGAGCAAGTGTTACATTTTCAAAGATAAAGAGCCTTTGGGAAAATTTGACTCCCGAAGTGATGAAGGTATTTTTCTAGGGTATTCTCCTTAGTACGAAACTTCCTCCAAACTTTTGGGCTGAAGCCCTAAATATTGTTGTTTATGTCATAAATCGCGTGTATTTAAGGCCCGGCACTTTACAAACTCCATATGAATTGTGGAAGGGCTTGAAACCTAATGTAAAATACTTCAAAACTTTTGGGAGTAAGTGTTACATTTTCAAAGATAGAGAGCCTTTGGGAAAATTTGACTCCCGAAGTGATGAAGGTATTTTTCTAGGGTATTCAACCACTAGTAAGGCTTTTCGAGTCTATAACTTGGGAATCTCTTCTTTAATGGAATCTATCAATGTGGTTATAGATGATATAGGTTTCCCTACTCCAGCAACAAATGAGGATGACAATGGTGAGTCTCCAATCTTGGATACTGAACCACAAAGTCAAAGAGAAGCTGAGGTCCAAGCACAAGAAGTTGAGATGGCACCATCCTCTCAGGTAAGTCAAAGTCCAAAGAGTGCACAAAGAAACATCACTCCTGATGCTTCTGTCACCGCAAGTCCTGTGTTCAAACCATCAGCAAGGGTGAAACTGAATCATCCAGCTCAACAGATGATTGGAAGTGTATTTGATCGAATGAAAACCCGAAGACAGATTCGGGATGAGGTATCACATATGTGTTATGTTTCATTAATTGAACCTAAGAATTTCAAAGAGGCCTTGCTAGATGATAGTTGGGTCAATGCTATGCATGAAGAATTAGGTCAATTTGAACGTAACAATGTTTGGACTCTAGTTCCCAGACCTAGAGACATGAATGTGATAGGTACTAAGTGGATCTTTAAAAATAAATCTGATGAGAATGGCATTATGGTTAGAAATAAAGCCAGGTTGGTTGCTCAAGGTTATACTCAAGTAGAAGGTATTGACTATGATAAGACGTCTGCCCCAGTTGCACGTCTCGAATCTATTCGTATTTGACTTGGTGTTGCTTGTTATCTTGGTTTCAAATTGTTTCAAATGGATGTGAAAAGTGTCTTTCTGAATGGGTACTCTGAAGAAGAGGCATATATTGAGCAACCAAAAGGGTTTGAGGACCCTAAATGTCCAAATCATGTCTACAAGTTAGACAAGGCTTTGTATGTGTTGAAACAAGCCCCTCAGGCTTGGTATGATAGACTTACTACCTTTCTTCTTGATAATGACTTTCAAAGGGGTAGTGTGGATAAGACTATTTGTGAAACAAATGTCTCATATTCTTGTTGCTCAGATTTATGTTGATGATATTGTGTTTGGATCCACTGCTGATCATCTTGTGAAACATTTTTCGGATTGCATGACACATGAGTTTGAGATGAGCATGATGGTAGAGTTGTCTTATTTCTTGGGTCTTCAAATTAAACAGTCTCCTTCGGGTATGTTTGTTTCTCAGACTAAGTATGCTAAAAATCTTGTGTCAAAGTTTGGTCTTGAGTCAGCCAAACATGCACGCACTCCCATGAGCACCAGTCTTCACCTCTCCAAAGACTCCTCTGGCATTGATGTAGATCCTACCCTTTATAGGAGTATGATAGGAAGTCTTCTGTATCTCATAGCCAGTCGTCCTGATATTTCCTTCAGTGTCGGTGTTTGTGCCCGTTACCAAGCCAGTCCTAAAAAGTCTCACCTTCTTGCAGTCAAACGCATCATCAAATATGTTAATGAAACATTGGGGTATGGGGTTTGGTTTTTTATTGATTCTACAGCTGAAATTACTGGTTTTTCTGATGCCGATTGGGCAGGGTGTGCTGATGATAGGAAGAGTACATCCGGGGGTTGTTTTTACCTTGGGAATAACTTGGTCTCCTGGCATAGTAAAAAGAAAAATGCCATCTCTCTCTCAACTGCTGAGGCTGAGTACATTGCTGCAGGGAGTTGTTGTGCACAAATACTATGGATGAAGCAAATGCTTCATGACTATGGGATAGAACAGAACACTCTCACACTTTTCTGTGATAACACAAGTGCCATAAACATTTCAAAAAATCCTATCCAACACCCTCGCACCAAACATATTGACATTCGTCATCATTTTATTCGAGAGTTAGTGGAAGAGGGCCTTGTTGTTCTTGAACATGTACCCACTGAGCATCAAAAAGCTGATATTTTTACAAAACCCATTGATCTTCTTCGATTTGAGTTCCTTAGAAAGACCTTGGGTATCATGCTCGATCACTAGAGTGTTACTTGTTCCTTGAGTGGGTGTGAGTATTTGGCTTTATGTGTGCCTGGATGCTATAATCTGAATGTCATTGATTTCTGTTTTACTTGCATACATCTTTATATACACACTACTCATGCTGCTTACAACATCTCATTGTTCTTTGTTCATAGCTCATTTTGAATGCCCATGCTCATTAACCTCATGATCTTATTCTGTACACATCCTTGAGATAAATTGTTGCAGGGGTTTCCGCACAAGTGATCAAAGTTCTCTATGGACCACTAACAGTGTTTCTTGTACTTTTACAGTGGAATTGACTGATACTAGTATATCATGGGTGATGTTGAGTCTCTTAACCATCTACCATCATTTTTCACTTCCATGGTTTCTCCCTCAGTTCATTGGAGTTCGGGCATTAGGAAAAGGCTACCTCAAAGGCACCAACCAGGCCATCCTTTATGATTTCATTCTTCTCTGGTTTGGTTTCCATACTCTTGAGCATGAATGCCACCAGTGAGTGCCCACAAGAAAGAAAAAGTTTGAAAAAAAAGGGGGGGACTCATTGATTGAGGGGGAACCTCCGCATTTACTCAACAAATACCCCGTGATTCCTAGTGGTTTGACTTTTCTCTGTGATGTTCAGTTACTCTTGCCGGAGGTCCAGCCATCCGATCACTACGAGGATTAACTCTAGCTCAGTGGACTCTCATGGATTGGACACACACACTTTATTTTGTGAGATCTCATGTTGGATTTTGAGTTGTACATTCTCATGTCACTACAAGAATAAACACATTTGCCGACTAAAGATTTGGTCGGCAAAAGTCCAATTTTTGGTCGGCAAAACATATTCCCGACCAATTTTTTTGGTTGCCCATTTGGTCGGCAATTGAGGGTCACGGAAAGTAATTAGCGACTAAAAAGATTTTTAGTCGGCAAAATGTTCTATTTGGCGACTAAATTGTTGGTCACTAAACATATAATTATCGCAACTAACCTATTTAGTCGCGAAAAGACTTTGGTCGACAAAAATTACATTCAACGACCATACATGTTAGTCGCTAATTTGGTCGGCAAAAATTACTTTCAACGACCAAGAAAATTGGTCGGCAAAAATTACATTCCACGACCAAAACTGCTTTGTCGCTAAATAATAGTCTCTACGACCAAAAAATTTGGTCGCCATTTGTTACTTTTCGCGACCAAAACTTTTGGTCGGCAAAAGTGAGATTCCACGACCAAGAGTTGTTTTGGTCGGCAATAGATGTATTTTTTGCGACCAAAACTCTTGGTCGGCATTTGTTATTTTTTGAGAAAAAAAATTATTTATTTGTCGCGACTAATAAATTGGTCGCCAAAAGCAAGAAAACAATACACCTGTAATTTCTAATAATTCATTCAATCCATAATAAACCTATAATTTTAAAGCATCATTCAAATCAATTGAATCATTAACATTTGACACAATACATAATTCATTAACATTCGACACAATACAACTATTCTAAGTTTTCATTCACAAGTCACATCCATCTAGCATAACAATTTGAAACATAACTATTTGTTATCCATGCGCAGCTATCAACAAATAAAACTACTAATATTTGTTATCCATACACATCCATCTAAAAATATTTAATCCTCCCAAAAATGCTTATACTGCCAAGTAGTCTTGTACAATTTAGCTTCGTGCACGAGATCATCCATTATCCATCTATACCAAAGAAAAAGAGAAATAATGTTAGGTTTGTTTTTAATGAAAATATTTGAAATGGGTAATTAAATTATCAATTTCAGAGAATCGTAAGTTCAAATCAAAATTTCTAACTCATTCGTAGGTAATTAAATTATCAATTTCAGAGTATAAGCTGCTAATTACAAATTTGAAATGGGTATTAACAGATTGGACAATGAGACTCATGTTTACACAGAGAAAAGTGCAAGGTTCATATATGGTCATGGCAAACACAATCAAGCTTGACAAGCACAGACAGACATAGAAGACTACTACAATGTTGAAAACAATCTTCCTCTTATTTATGGTTTTCTCTGTTTTTTTGTTTCTTTTCTTTTCTTTTTCTTTGTTTATGGTTTATTTGTTTCTCCTTATGTAGTTACTTCAAAGGAATGATCCTGAAAAGTTTGTGAACCTCGGAATCGACCCTCCTGAGGGTGTTCTATGCTATGGTCCACCTGGTACCGGTAAGACACTTTTAGCTAGAGCTATGGCTAATAGAACTGATGCGTGTTTCATCCGTGTTATTGGAAATGAACTTGTTAAGAAATATGTTGGGGAGGGTGCCTGTCTGGTTCGTGAACTATTTCAGATGGCATGTTCCAAAAAAGCTTGTATCATGTTTTTTGATGAACTAGGTGCCATAGGAGGTGCACGTTTTGATGATGGTGTAGGTGGAGACAATGAGGTTCAGCGCACTATGCTTGAAATTGTGAAACAGCTTGATGGATTTGATGCTCGAGGGAACATCAAAGTTCTGATGGCAACAAATCGACCAGACACTCTAAACCCTTCTGTTACTAGTGGATCCGTGGTTGGTGCTATTTGATTATATAGTCCATCAAATGCATCATCATGACAGTTTGAGATTTGCAATAGCTTTGTTGTGCTAAAAAAAAAAATTGTCTAACTTTTTATGTGCCACCACCAAGGTCGAACACAAGGATGTTCTTCTCACCACCTTTACTGTCGAATCCATAGGCAATAGTTGCAGCAGATGGTTCATTTAAAATTCTAGCAACATTCAGCCCAACAATAATACCAGCATCCTTGGTAGCTTGCCTTTGGGCGTCATTAAAGTAGGCTGCAGGTTGCAAAAAAAAGTAAAAGGGAGTACCACAGCATCCTTGGAAGAGTGGAGAATAATAGTTGTAATTTAGAAGAGTTTTACTCACCAACAACCGTGACAACAGCATCCTTAATTGATTTTCTTCCCAAGGAATGCCTCACAGTCTCCTTTATCTTAATTAGAATCATAGCACTGACCTTCTCAGGGCTAAATACCTTGGGCTTTGCATCCTTAATCTTAACTTCGATACAAGGCTTTCCATCTTTGTTCACAATTTTGTGAGGAACAAGCTTCATATCCCTTTGGACTGTTATTTTGTAATTTTAAAATTGTATTTGATTTATTTAATTTATTTTATTTGATATTTGCATTTTTTTAGGAATACGTTTATAACGTTATATTAGTTTCCTAGTTTTTTGGATTATCCTACAATTTCTCCTAAATATCTAAATTATGGTTATTTAAAGACACATTAATGTGTACTAATTGGGCCTTTTTTTTTTTTAATTGTGTATGTAATAAGACTTCAAGTAATCATCTAAAGAAGTCAAAAATCCAGCAGCATTCAAATGGTAGAGAGTCCATCTAGCAAAACATTATATCATTAAATCGAGCTTCTAGCACATAAAATTTATTAGGGGGGAAAAATTCAAAAAGGGCATCTAGACAGATAGGTTGATCAAATAGAGCAATAGTTATCAGCTTCAAACTAACGACTAAAGATGACCATTTTCAAATTTCAAATGTAATTGCTAATACTAATAATGCCATTGCCAATTCACTGCCCATTACACTAAAGACAATAGGGTACTTATAATTAGTATGATAGCGAGCAACTTGTATGTCATAATATTAAAGGAAAATGTATGACAAGATAATTTACTGTTATTGAACAGACACAGAATCATCATGTATTTTTGCTAGCGAGGCTAATATACATATTCTCAACTTAAAAGAGCTTCCAATTGATGGTGCAGTTGAAGATGGATCCTATGTGATTAACAAGACAGGAAGAAGAGAGTACTTTCCACATCAATATTGTTCACCAGTGTTGTCCTACCACTGTGGTACAACATTTTAGGACATTAATATTCCATTTCATCCCAAGGCCAGAGGAAATTAAAAATAAATAAATAAATAAATTAATTAACATGTAATAGTACCTAAAGTGGCAACAATTTTAATGCTACATCTGTTTGATGATTACTTGGTCGAAACCCATTAATTGACTAATCAGAAAACATTCAAAGGTTAGAGTTGGTAGGCTGTCATTAACTAGATTTCCATGTGAGGTTGGTGAAAGGAATCATCAACCTATTATTGGGTCTTGGCATCAATAGCATTTGCTCTACCTTCCTTTGTAAATAATTTAGTATTATAATGCTATGTTTATATATATATATATATATGAGAAGAGGTGTCACACACACACACACACACACACACACACACACACACACAGAGTGTGTGTGTGTTGATAGTTTAGAATTTGGAGTGTTAATAGTTTCGAAAAGAAAAGTAGAGCCCTCTCCTTAATATATTCCTCTGCTTATGTCCTACTGAGAAAATAATAGAAAAGAAAAGAAGAGAAGTTAAAAAACTAACAAGTTGTAGCAACAATGGTGTCCAAGAAGCCAAGAATTGTGATTATTGGGGCTGGAATGGCTGGTCTCATAGCGGCCAACAAGCTCTCCACATCACAGGGCTCGAACGAATCATTTTAGCTCTGCGTAGTAGAAGGTGGGACTAGAATTGGTGGAAGAATCAACACTTCTGAGTTTGGTGGTGATAGGATTGAGATGGGTGCTACTTGGAATCACGGCATTAAAGGTAGCCCAATTCAGAAAATTGCTCAAGAAATCCATTCACTTGACTCTAATCAGCATTTGGAGTGTATGGATGGGTTTTTGCATGATCCACTCACTATTGCTGAAGGTGGGCATGAGCTCAATCCATCACTTGTCGATTCAATAACTAGTTTTTTCAACAAACTACTGAATTTTGCTCAAGGAAAGGTGAGTGAAGAAGGATTGAGCAATGAAGAGATTGAGTATTGTAAGTTTATAGCAGCAAAAGGCTTTAATGGAAAGCTCAGTGTTGGTTCTTTTCTATGCCATTGCCCAAAAATGGAAATTATGAGGCTGTTGCCTCTCCTCTACTCCAAATTCTGTTTGTAGGTGAAGCAAATGGAATAGAACCCATTATTCAACTACTCATGGAGCCTATTTCAGTGGCCTTAGAGAAGCCAATAGGCTTCTTTAACATTATCATTGCAACGGGGTATGAGAGTTCTTGATGCACTACTAAGCTAGAACAGTAAGCACTTTTTCTTATTTTTTTTGTTTTTTTGTTTTTTTTTTTGTTTTTGGGAAACACTTATTTCCCTCTTAATCACTTTCTGATTGATATTCATCTGGAAAATCTTTTATTTCTCTCTCTGTAATATGGTTGGAATGAGATGAGATAGTGGAAATTAAAGAGAGGGAATGAAAGGGAGATGGGTACAATTTTTAGATGTATAGATGAATGAGTTAAAGAAGCTTCTTTTCAAATGTTCTATATATATGAGTTTTGGGGCTGCTTTACTGTTTGATGATGTTCTTCATCTTCAAAGCAAACTAGTTAAAGATTATGTTTGGCATTGAATATAGTTGTTGTATATTTTTAACAAACATGGATCTGGCATTATTGAAGTCTAAATTGAATATCTTCCCTGATTTATCATCTTCCTTCACCAGATTTAATTTATGTTCACATATTAATGTAGCTTCTTACATATGTGGTCTATTATGATGTTCGGACATAATGAGCAGGTTCACACATTCAAGAAAGCATGTGTAGTTGCTTATCCAAGAACAGAGACTCAAAATGACATCACCCTCTTTTGGCGTAACTCTAATTCTCAATACAAAGATATCCTTTGATCAACAAACCCCCATATATCCCAGAACTGGATGACCTAATGTTATACTAAGTTGATGGAAAATAGAGAGATACCATATCTGTGTGCAGAGATAAAGTCTCCCTAATATATATTTTTCATTTCAAAACAAAAGGTATGTACTACTACTGATTCCAGTCTCAAAACAAAAGGTATGTACCCCAAAAAGAAAGAGGAAAGGAAAATAAGAACTTAGCACTAATCATAGACCTATTTTGCATGTGGTTTTTCATCATCCGCTTCAATCTTTGTGGAACTTTTGAAACATAAGACAAGTAGTATAGCTTGTTTTAACTATAATATTAAAAATGTTCCCCAATGATGCTTCGATTTTACAAATAACTTATAAAAGCAAAAATAAATAAATATATTTGATTCTCATTACGTATATTTGCCAATATAGAAAGGGATACTTAAAAGAAAGAGAAGAAACAACACACTCCAAGGCAAATAATAGATTGGGGGACTTCACAAACAACAGAGTGAAATGGTATTCTCCACATATCCTAGCAGCAAACATCAACATAAACATTGACAGTGAGAGGAAGACACAGGCAGAGACTGAGTGAGTGAGAGTGATACAGCAGATTTTTATCTGCAATTGTTGCTAGGGAGAGTTGAAGATGCTTCGAAAAATCACGATGTTGAGGGCCCTGGTGGCTGACACATTGTAGAAGAAGACGAGTATAAGAAAGAGGAGTAAGAGAATGCAAAGGGACAAAAGTGAGACACAGATCTGTGGAGATATAAACAGAGACACGATTATCAGTTCGAAAAAATACCTAGATGAATCAGAAATGGTGAAGACGAATCAGAAATAGTGAAGACGGACGGCGGCGCAGATGGTGGAGAGGCGATAACGGCGGACGGCAAGGTTGATGGTTAGGTGAGGTGATTGGCGCGAATTTTTGTCTGATCGAATTCGACATTTTTGCCAAAAGAGGTGGGGATTTGGTTTTATGTGAGTGTTTGAATTAGGAGTGGAATCCCCGACAAACATGTTGGTCGGCTAATGACTGATTGGGAATTTGCATAGCAAAACGATGTCGTTTTGGTTTCTGCGACAAACTCATATTAGTCGGTAAAAGATCGCACCTGCTGTAGCCTAATTTTCATTTTCTGCCTATATTTTTGCCAACAAAAAATAGAATTTGGTCTCAAAAAGATACTTATTTGCGATAACATATTTTTAGTCGGTAATAGTTTGAAATTTTAGCAACAAAATTTTATTTTGGTTGCCAAATTTCATTTTTTTGCGATGAAAATATTTTTGGTTGGCAAAAGTGGTCAGCAAATGTGTTTATTCTTGTAGTGTGTAGCTTATGATCACTGATTATATTTTATCTGCTTTGCTCATGATTTCCAGTGTCATTTTTTAAAAAAAATTGCAAGTTTACAAGATTCATGATGTGCGGATTATTTCATCTTAGTGTCAATTTTGGCCAAATGCGATCATCTACTTGTGTTCCAGGTCTCACTTCATGATATTGAGTCTCATGGTTTTTTGTTTAAAAAAAAAAAAGTTTTTTTTTGGTTTTGTTTTTTTTTTCTCTTCTTTGCTCAAGCGACGGAGTCCTCGCTCGAGTGTGGTTCTGCTCCTGCATTAGACCTGAGAGTGTGTGTTTTTGGCTCGAGCGAACTCTTGCGCATTTTTGACCTCGCTCGAGCGAGAAAGTCTTCGCTCGAGCAACCTGTCGAGGTTCAAATTTTGAAACTGTGTCTTTTCAGTTCATTTTTTCCCACCTCTTCGTGTTTCTCTCTCTCTCTCTCTCTCTCCTAGGGTTTTGTGCTCTCCATTGCTGGCCTCGTCTAAGATTTC